AAACCCAACAAGGTATACTACTTTCACACCACAACCACATGGAAACCAGATATTTCGGCCGCACATCTTACCTATGTGGCCAAATATGATATACTGCCCTCACACCAAAACGCAACAAGGTATACTACTTTCACACCACAACCACATGGCAACCTGATATTCTGGCCTCACATCATGCATATATAGCCATACATGGCTCTCACCAAACCCAAACCCATGAGTTTTGCATTATTCAAACATGATATATCCACGTGCACCCCACCACAACCATACTGCTTCTACTTCCCCCATGGTCTAACAAGTCATGTTGCACTAATCATAATGCCTACATCCCATAATTCAATCTGATATATCGCCATGTTCATATCGTCCAACAGCCATACCTGCTATACTACCTTAATGCACATCACACTGAATTGCCAACTAACATCACTGCCCTGTTTATAGTCAATACAGTGAAACTTTGCACAAAATCCTTTTCATACACTGAATTTATAAACATTGCAGGGGAATAATTTGATTGGAAAATCATTTGCTGACATTTCAATGCAGTTGGTGTTAAGTTTACAACATATGCCATTTGCAAGAAACTGGCATCATCACACATAATTTGAGATGCTTCTTGAGTCATCCATCCTCTCTGCTCTATCTTCACAGGACGATTCTTGCTTCTAAACAGCATGGCCAAAAAAAAATTGTTTTGTTGCCCTCAGCGACAGACCAAAAATATGAAATATTTTTTTAAAAATAGGCTCAAATATAAAAAACTCAAAAATTTTAAGCAGTAAAAAAGTGTTTCCTTTAAAAATTTACGATCCCGGATCATTTGTTTGATCCCCAGGGGGATGAGTGGCGATTTTGAACCTCGGGTTAATCTGCATTTCTCTGACATGTTCCAAATACTTTGAAGTCTGAAGAGCAAACACGTCTTTCCCATTTCAGGCCATTTTGACATTTGCGATTCAACGGATAGTTGGCGCACAATATTAAAAATATCGCTGCATCAAAGTATTTTCTTAATTAAGTAAAAACATTATTTTGAATCAAAAACAATACGTTTGTAGTAGTAAATATAATTTTTAATACATAAATGCATAAAATTTTATTGAATTTACAAAACGTGAAATTTTATATTAAAACTCTCGTCCGCTTACATCACAAACAAAACGTGTGTATGTGTGTACGTACATGTGTACAGTAGTAGCAAACATGGCAAACACGTTTGCTGTGTGCACGACAGCAAAAGCTGGATCAACTATTATAATAAGTTTTAAAAAAGAATCTGACCGACCAACCGACCTAATTTTACGACTTGAGGGCAACACAAGTTTTTTTATTTGGCCTAATGTCATTATTCCAACCTGCTGTCAAACCACATTCAGATATATGGCCCTAGTATCAGCCACTGCATACCTAAATAAATTTCCATAGCATCACATCTAAAATCACTGACCAATTAAGTATACTGACCTTGCATCACAGTTTCTCTTCAATTTTCAACAAAATAAATAAAATATTTGACCATATTCATACTTTAACAATCTTTTAATTTTCAACCATAGTAATAATTAGGTCAATATATTTACATGATTTCACAACAGGAATTCCAGTTAAAAAAAAATGCATCACCATCAGAAAAATGTCAAACAGTGTTGCTAAACAGTGCTTCTCTGACACTGATACAGCACAGAAGACTAGCTTTTAATTTATAGAACACTTTGTTTGCTACACATCATATTTCACAAGTTTATAAAGTTATTACAGAAAGTCAGCATATTGACTACTCTGATTAAATCAGTAGAATTATATTGATGGCATATGTACCTTTGAAAACTGGTGAAAGTATTAGATTAATATTCTTGTTCAAAATATAAAGTTGTTGTGTTTACTTAAATGACAGGAGTAATACATTATCTTAATAACTTTGAAAGTAATGTTTGGTTTGTGTGCTTTAATTAGAGATGCTTTTATAATAAAGCAAATACATTATTCTTGTAAGTTTGGGTACATTCCAACATAACTCAAGGCTATGAAAATGGTACACAGTAAATGCACAAGTGTAAATTTACTTTCAATTTGCACAAATGTTATGTTTGTGTTCAAATTTATATGATTCTGCATTCTATATCAACATATTGTCAGTCCCATGTAGTACTGGTCCATAATGGAGACACTCCATGTCTGTCCAGTGTAGTACTGGTCCATAATGGAGACACTACATGTCAGTCCAGTGCAGTACCGGTCCATACTGAAGACACTCCATGTCAGTCCAGTGTAGTACTGGTCCATAATGGAGACACTCCATGTCAGTCCAGTGTAGTACTGGTCCATAATGGAGACACTCCATATCAGTCCAGTGTAGTACTGGCTCATAATCGAGACACTCCATGTCAGTCCAGTGTAATACTGGTCCATAATGAAGACACTCCATGTCAGTCCAGTGTAATACTGGTCCATAATGAAGACACTCCATGTCAGTCCAGTGTAGTACTGGTCCATACTGAAGACACTCCATGTCAGTCCAGTGTAGCA